TAAGGGAGATGAATAGTGACATGGACAACAATGCTGGAGATAAATTAAAAAGAGGTGAGTTTTTCTTAAGAAAGAGAAAGATCACCAAGTGAAAAGAGTGAGGGGAAAAGAAAAAAGGAGTGAGGAAAGAAAGAATGTAGCAGATCCTTCAGGATTGATGGTTTTGAATTAGCATTGCCTTTGTGGATTTCGATCAAAAGTATAATAGGATACAAAAAAGATCAAATTTGTGACACTGGCTATATATTTTTAAATAATTGTGTAAGTGATATAGCCCCTTTCTGATAATTTTAAACCTTGGGCTGGTTCATATTGGGAGATATAGGATGTTTTCCCACATTATAGAATGGAGGCCAATCATCCGATCAGTTCTTGAAGAATTCTGGGAAATGTAGTTTAGGGAAGCTGAGGACCTCTCTAGCTGAGAACTCCAAAGGCTCTGCCATGAACTACATTTCCCAAAATTCTGCAGGAGCAACTTGGAACATTGGCAGATGATATCCTCTGTTCTATAACACTGGTGGGAAAATGTTCGCAGTCTTTCAGGAAATTTGGGCCCAAGCTGTATAAGGTTTTATAGTCATAACCATTACTTTGAATTGTGCCTGAATACAAATTAGTAGCTACTGAAGCTATTTCAATAAGGAGTTCCATGTTTCCTGTAACCAGTCAAAATCAATAGTCTGGTTGCATCATTGGACCCACTGAAGTTTTGGGAGTCTCCAAATGCAGCCTCACATAAGACCTCATTAGGCAGGTTGAATTTTGTGTTCTAGGAGGCTTTCAACCCATCTAACGGACGGAGCCCATGCCGGACATTGCATATTGTTATGTGAGTTCTGGAGGAAGCCCCGCCCCCAAGTAGGGTGAAAATGTCACCGGATGCTTTCCGCCCAACATGGGACCTCTTTGCAATGGCAATGTTTTCCCCGTGTGATGAGGAAGGCATTAGAATTATAGAATCATATTTTATTTATTTATTTATTTACAGCATTTATATTCCGCCCTTCTCACCCCACAGGGGACTCAGGGTGGATTACAATGTACACATATATGGCAAACATATATGTGGATCAAGAAGAGAGATACTGAACCTTCTTACCCTTGGAAGATACCCTGTCAGAAGAAACATCTTGAAGTAGGCCAGCTGTGTCAAAGTGTGAAGCTTAAAGAGGACCTAACAAGGCAGATCTTATTTTGCTCATGACTAGCAGCACACATTCTGACAATTGGATATAAAAGATTGAAGCCAGGGATATAGGGTTGTTGGGTTTACTCTATGTACTTTCCACCTATGTTATTGTGAATTCCTTACTCTTGAATTACCTTGGCTTTTTTGACAATGGTGTACTCTCAAGATTCTTGTTTGTTTTTTCCTTGAAAATCATGAAGGCGTCTTTTTATCTGACTTCAGATTGTTCTTTGGCCAATTTCCTTGCTTGCTCATTTGACCACTAGCAACTTTGATACAAGACTGGCTCTACTCTGTTAGCTTGCCCGATTTAGGGCTGCTTGCCACCTGCCTTAAAAACAGGTAGGAAATCTTACAGCTCATCTCAATTTTCTAAAACACAATTTGTTGTGGAAAGGTTTGAGACTGTTTCTTTTTCAATATCTCACAACTCTAGATTGAGATTTCTTGGTCCTCAGTTCACATTGTTTGTTCTGAGACAAACATCTCTGCTTATGGACTAAGTGGGAGGCCAAAGGGGAGAAGCTGAGTCAGAAAGAGCCCGGTTATTGTTTTTACAAACAGTTAAAAACACAGTTGTTTTTTAAAAACTATATGAGTTTTTAATGAAAGGCATGAAAAGTTTTGAATAATCATTTACCACCATGTCAGCTCCAGTTTGAGGTAATATGGATTCCAAAATCCAGAGATGTGCTAAGTTGGCTCTCCTTTTTCTGGTATGACCATGCCTTAGGATATGTTTCCTTAACTCATTTCTCTGAAACTCATTACTTTCACACTCCATTTTTGTAAGAAAAAATTACAAATTAATATAATGAAGACTTGGACCAACCCTGGAATACGATTTGGTGATCATGTGATTTTAATTGATGTTTTGATGCTATGTTTTTAATGGGTTTGATTTTAACTTTTTGTGTATTTGCCAATGCATTACTATATCCCATTGAATTCTTGTTTTTGTAAGGCCACCCTGGGTCCCCTTCCTGGTTGAGAAGGGTGGAATATAAATGTGGTAAAGAAATAAATAATGTCTGTAGAGGTTTGCAATGTCTTCCTTTTTGTTTTTGTATGCTTTATTAAAAGGAGAGCCATTTACTTTAATTTTTTTAATTTTGTTTTTTATTGATGTTTAAGCTGCTTCAAGATTCCAATTTGACTTGTAAAAAGAGATTCCATGTATTAAAATAATAGCTATTTA